CCCTGTTCATCTCAGATTTTCACTCCACCCACCCCAGATTCCCCCCCCCCCATTCCACCCCCCTTTTCCCCCCCCCCCCCCCCCCCCCTGGCACCATAACTACCTCGCTAAAAATCGCTGAAAAGTCCCCGCTGACCACTAAAGGCAATTTCAGACGTCCCAGAGGTGATATATAACGTTTCTGATAGTCAAAAATACCGTAGAAGTTGGTCTAAAATAAAATATTTCAAGTTGTGGCGTTGGCAAAAAAAATGATCCACGATGAACCGCTCTTGAAGATAGAAATAGAAACACTCCAGTTCAGCAAAGAACCGCAGTATCCTCCCCGTCTTAAGCTCCGAGTATTATTTGAAAAGCGGTGTCAGGCGAGCCAGCCACTCTCAAGGAATATTAAAAGTGGATTATATATATAACTGAGTGCGCTACCGATATTGCTAGACCGGTGACCGTCCCCTCTGAGGCAAGCCTCGATAGATTTGCCCTCATTATAATGAATAGTAATGAGTCTACGATATTGCAACCAAAAACAACAACAGATCCTACTGATGTGGTGTCGACGGCGTTTAAAACACAGCCATACACATAGGTCTTTCCTCAAGTCGATTCCTTCCATAGAGAATATGCCATTCGAAACTTAAGGTAAGCTATCAAGGCGATGTGTCAAGCCTTCGGTATAGCAGGGAGACGTCGCGCCATATAACACAACTGTTTTATCCAATGAGCTGCGGAGCCGAAAAAACCAAGGCGTTTATCGACCCGTACAACCGGCGACCGCAACCTCCAGCTGCTGAGTCCTTGAACAATCTTGTCGAAACGTTCAACTACTTCGGCCATTGTAGGTCTTGCCTTGGGGTCGTCTTTGACCATGTCCGTAATGAGCTCACGCATGAATTCCAAACCCGTCTGGGCCACGAAGAATTCTTCATATCCCTGTGTAATGTCGATTAAGGAATATCGAACTATAGGTGTGCAAACGACTCTTACATCAAGGAAACTCCTTCTAATTGCATTCCCCAAGCAGTAGACGTCCACCGGAAATGGGTCACATGGCTCAGGATTAGGTATCAGAAATTCTGGAACGGTTTTGTCGCCTCCCCATGGAGGAGTCTCGAGGCGATGTTCCTCAGGCTCATACATTCTAGATAAATCAAAGTCGATGAAGTAGTATTTGACTGGCCGTTTGGTCCGACTTGTGGGTTTCGTCATTGTGCCGCTCCAATCAAGTTTCATTCGCGGCTTGAGTGGATGGGGTGGGGAGTCGAACAAAGACAGTGTATTGGCCATGATGTTGTCATATTTGCAATCGCTGTTATACGGAGCTTAGTATCCATTTGAGAGGTAGAGTAGCAATCATACCCATGAGCAACATTATTCTCGTGCATAAATTGTAAACCCTGCCATTCAAATTTACATGTGGAATGGAGTAAAAGACTCGAGTACACTTACTTCGAAAATCTGACGAAATAGTTCAACTGTTTCACCAACTGTTTGGAATGGCACGAACTGAACCTCCTGCAGGATTGGCATCACGATAAAAGCTGTGTCGGAACCTTCAATTGGGTATATCACGTCCAAAATCGGGACACAGTGATTCTTAGAATTTGACGCCAATGGTTCAGAGGAGAAATGTTTCCCAATTGCAATCTCGTGCGCAAATACTGAGAATTCGATTCTTTTGAGAATGACCTGGGAACCATCGGTACGGGTCGCGTCTAAGGCCTGGTGAGTCTGTCCGGCTGTGAGGATCATAATCATGAAGTAGAGAGCAACATGACTTACATGGCTGGGTACTCCGTCCTCGCAATCTAATCTACTCTTGGAAGAGTTCAGCCAAGACGCAGTCCAATCAGGTTGATACCGCTTTCTGAGAGTGTAGCCCTGGTCCTTCAAGAATAGATATTGGTTGCGCCAGAAAGTTTCACTTTTGGTGAGGTCGCCGTTTGCTACAGAAGGGGTCGTAATCGCCTCTGGGGTGGGAGGAGAACTCATGTTCCAAGAGCTCTGAAGAGAACGACCGGTATCTCTATTGTACAGAGAACAACAAACATGTTCTGTAATAGAATTACATTGTAGTTGGGATGATGGTGACAGCGTGGTAATAACAGGTTTCCCCGAAACGGCCATCAACCTCAAACGGACCCTTCAACCTGCGGTACTTATCATAGTTATTGTTCTTTAACTAGTCCTCGAGGGTGTTGCCACAGGACCCGTCGCAGGATCGGCACATTTCATTCCGGTCACTCACGCTTTTGTTCTCGTTCTGGACTTATCATCATGTTCACGTCTCATAAATCATGGCGACCTGAAGTGGTCCTTCACTAACTCTGCTTTCCTGTCTTGCGCTATTCCCAATGTCTGGTTTTGAAACTCTTGTCGGCGCAACGAATATTGGCTCACTGATTGTCTCTATCTTCACCCTTGGACAAAAAACGAAAGACAACAAAGCCGAGATCACATCATACCTCACGGCGGCTAATCAATGTCTTCTCGACGCCATGGAAGAACTTCGCGCATTCAGCATTGTACTTACCGATGATGAGTTTGAACGCAACCTTGCAAGATGTACTTCGTGAGTCGAATGGCCTTTTCATGATGCTTAGATTGCCGCGTATCCAACAAAGTACCCCAACAGCCTTCATGACGATGTTTATGAGCAGATGAAGCGAAGAACCCAGAAAATCAACGGCAATATATGCTCCAGAAGCAAGCAAATGAAAGAGAGGAAAAAACAAGCCATGGAAAAAGAGACGGAATGTCGTAACACTAAATATACCGTGAAAGTAAGAGAGAAAAAATGAAACTGCTCATCGACTGATATAACACTTCATATCTTCTTAGGAACTCTCGACAAAAGCTGCGAGAAGATTAGAGACCAAAGTTTTAGGCTCTTTCAAGCTCCCAGACGATGGAACTCTTGCTGCAAGAGATTCACGACTAAAAGCATTCCAGGCAACCTTGCAGAGTATGCAGCCTACGACTGCGCTCATACATGGTGACATTAAGCTTCCTCTGAAGTCTGTGAATTTGAAGCTGATTTTGTAAATCAGAATACCCTCCCGTTCCCAGACAAAGCTCATCTCCGCTTGACGACCCCTTCAAAGACCCCAAGACAAACGGCCAGCGCCCCATAGGCCCACTTTTCTTCAAATATCTGAAGGATTCGGATCTTCGTCGCAGTGCCAGTGTTGATTTTTAGAATTTCCTTTTATCCGCATGAATGTGTTTGAGCAGAATTACAATCCCCGTTATGGGCCACAACTTCCTTCATTAGGGTCCTTCAAAGTTGTCATTCGAGTGTCATTTGGAATCTCATATCTCTGGGGAAGGTTTAATGTTAGGACGTCTGAAGAAATACTAACGATTCAGTGAGCTCAACATTCAATACCCATGTACAACATTATTGTCATGAATAAATTCAAACCTTATCAGTTCAAGTCGGATATTTTCGCGTAGATGATAGGACAAAAGATCAGGGTTAACTGGAATATCTGGCGAAAAAATTCGATAGCTTTACCTATGTAAATGGCACATCCGTTGTTTCTTGGAGGATGGGCATAACCAAAATTGCATGATCAGAACCTTCGGCTGAGTCTATGACGTCCAGGTGGGAGAAGAGTTCCTGGTTTATGTGGCGAAGCATATTGAGGAGTGTTGGCTCTATTTATCCCTAAAATAAAGGTATAAGTATGTCTGCAAAAGGAACATAGGAAAAACATTGAAAGAGCCTAGAACAAAAAGCGTTGGCATTGTGGGCGCTGGCCATTTGTTCCATCAAGGTCTACGGCGACTGTGTGGGCGCCACTTGTTGTTAAACCTGTTCCAAACTTGGATTCATTATGATGAAACCATCATCGTCATCGAGATGGGACAGGTTCGCATTGGAGCTCGAGGAAAAGAGACGACCGAGTCCGAGTCCCGAGTCCCGACTGCTCCAGACACGTGCGGGATCAAAACTACTGCTCAGTGTTCTTGGAGGTCTTGATTTTGTGGAAAGGTAGGCCCCCGTTGTCTAATGGTTATGATATCAGACTTCTAAAATATTGAATTGCGATCTGAAGGTTGCGGGTTCGAGTCCCGCCGGGGGTTGTATCATTCGCTTGAGCGATAGCATATCATTTTTAACTAAAATACTTATACAGATAGGACTACAGTTCGTACTATTTGTTCGAGGCTTGTGTTCAGCATTAGTTTCCGTCGTACAGAGCGTGCAGTTAAAGTACATTGAGGAGGTATATAAACAATCACAGTATACGGTATAAACTTATCGAGGGAATAAATCCAAATCCAACCCCAACCCCAAATCCATCACCTACTTGCGGGCCCGTAATTGCGCTCTAAGTTGCGCATTTTCCGTCTGCATAGAGTTCAACTCGTCGAGGAGTGCGATCCTCTGTGTCTGTTCAGACGTACGCATGGCCTGTACCTCATCTTGCGCTACCTCGAGCGCTGCCCGCGTCTCCGTTAGCTGTCCTTCCAGCTGCTTCCTGACCATCTCTGGCGCAGATGCAGCCTCCTCGGCGAGTGTGAGTGTCCGTGCGCTAAGGGTATTGTTGGCTTCTGTCAGTTGTCTGCACGTCTCGGCTTGCTCAGCAGCTAACATCTCTACGTCCCGCTTTTCACTCTCAATGCGCTCTAACGCGTTCTGGAGCTCCTGCATTTCTTCCACCCTAAACACAAAGATAAAATATCAGGATAGGTTGAAAAAAACAAGTAAGATGTTACGAACATCGCAGCCTGCTTCGACGCCATCGTCATGTTCCTCTCCTCTAGGGTACGTACCTGCCTCTGGTACGTCTCTAGTGCGGTATTACCCTCCTGCGCGAGCTTCTGCGCACGCTCGGCATTCTTCTTGAGTAGATCGTGTGCTTGTGCAAAGCGTAGTAGTCGCTCGATCAACGCGCGGTCGTCTTGGATGAGCGCCTGGACACGCGCAGCAAACGCCTCGATGGAGAACTCGCCCGCACCGACAACGGGCGACGCTGGCTGCTTCGTCGAGTCGTACAGAGATTTGAGCGACCGGACGTCGAGTTCTGAGAGCGATGCCACGGGCTTGGACGAGGCGCCATTCTGTTGGGTCGGCGAACCCGTACGGAATTGTCGTGAGTGGTTGAACTTGGCGGCGCGCGCTTCGGGCGAGGGAAGGGTATTCCAGAGCGGGGTGAGCAACTGGATGATGCGGTTCGCAGAGTCAGAGGACGCCAGTATGGGAGACCGCGCAAGGACCGCTTCCTTAGTGGCGGGACTCGGCATTTCCTGAGGGACGGCTTCGCTGCGTTCTCGGCGTGCTGCCTCAAGATCGCGGATGAGGGACTCGCGTTTGTCGAGGCCTGCACGAATGTCATCTTCAAGTTTCCTGCGTACAGATTCCCACTCGGCCTCGGCGCGCGAGTGGGATTCCAACTTGTTGTGCACAGTCTCAAGGTGTGTACCAACGGACGACAGTAACCCCTGTAGGGAAGAATCTCGGGAAAATAAGACGATGCCATGTTTCGTCACCAACTGGCGCAGTGCATCAAGTCCCTTATCCAGCTCAGTGTGTGCCTGTTGTAAGGCTTGTTGATCCTCGTCTCGTATTCTCTCCATCTCCTGCTGCAGCCGCGCAAGGTCATTCATCTTCTCGTCCTCGGCTTCTGACTGCCGCCGCTCCCAGAGTTGTCGCTCTTCCTCCCACTGGGTTTTGATCCGTTTAATCTCCTCTTCCTTTTCTCGCAGCTGGTTCCGAGCATCCTCTAAATCCATGTCAGACGTAGCTCCTCTAGTCGTCTCGGAAACCTCCGCCTGCTGCTGTAACCGCGCCCTTTCCTCTGCCCACGCTAGCTTCTCCTCTCGCAGTTCCCGTACCTCCACGGTCATCTCTTCCAGCGCATGGGTCTTTTCTTCAGTACCCTGCAATTCGAAGCTCATACGGGTTTCGATTTCCATCTTCTCCATGCGTATTTCCGACAACTCCCTGGTCATTTCTACTTGTTTCTTCCCTGCAGCCTTCAACGACGCGGTGGCAGCCTTGAGCTTTTCCTCCAGCGATGTGATCTCAAGCGCAGCGGCTTCTGGAGAGAGCTGGCGTCGCGGGACGATCGCTTCTGCATGTCCCGCAAAGTAGTGGCGGCCGTCGAAGCGCACCTTGCGTGAAGAGGAGGAGAATCCAGACATACTTGATGTTGTAGGACTCAATAGCGTATTCCGGCTCGATGAATCGTACCCAGAGTCCTCCCCAGTGACTGGACCAGTCCCGTTCAAAGTAACCACACCCAACTTCTTCTCCATAGTTCTGACGGAGTGCGAGAGCACACCCGCACGGTGCTCGAGTAGACGACGGTGCACTTCGTGGGCACGCTCGGAGACGCGCCAGAGGTCCTGCTGTGCGGCATCTACGCGGCGGTTAGCGGCTTCGAGTTGCTCCTCGGACTGCTTGGATGTCTTCTTCTGTGCAGCGTTGACCTTGGCGAGTGACACCGCTGCGTCGCGGATCTTCGTTTCAAGCGTCAGTTTCTTGGACATAGCTTCGAGGCGGGCGGTCAGGAGTTGGTGTTCCTAGATGTATATTAGTTTGTGATGGGTTCTTAGGGTAGCTATTGCGTACCTTGGTCAGGTCGTCGATCTGCTCCGAAGCGAGGATCTCAAATTCACGACTGTCGACGACAGCTTGTGATGCGAGGAGGCTTAGGAGGAGCTCATCGCGGGTTGAGGTTGAACCTGACGCGTTACTACCACCGGATTCACGCCTCCAGTCGCCCTTCTGGGACTGAGGTATTGAACTTCGAATGGTGAGAGGATTGGGTGGGGTCCGTGAAGAGGAAGGCGAGGAGGGTAAGTCTCGAAAGACAGATTCAAACGAGACACGGCTTGGCTCTGCATCCTGGGGCTGGGGCCGCTGCCTGGAAGGGTCCTTCTTGAAGTTTAATGCAGGAGTTGGAGGTGTGGCTACGGTGGGGGATTGGGGAGGCCAGGAAGCACCGGGAGAGCTGTAGCTGACGACGGTGTCTGTGTCTGAAGGCGCGGGTGGTGGTGGCGGCGCGGGTTGTGGCAGAGAAGAGGATGTGGCGGCAGCAGCAGCGCCCAGGAGCCTGCGCACGCCGTTCATGGCGATGTATTAGACAGAGTAAATTGCAGGACGGCGCCATCACTTGCGCTAAACCCTAACCCCATCCCAAGTGTTTGTGCCGTTCTCGCTGCCGTCGACGTCCTCCTCCGTCCTCCATGCGTCCATGTCCTTCACATTCAACTGGCCTCGCTTCTCAGACCAGTTTCATTACGATGCAATCCAGATGCTCAATACCGCTCTAAACAAGGGCAACAAGCCCCCAATCATAGCAGACCGCATCGAGGTTGTTGAGCTCGAGATGGGTACCCAAGTGCGAGCCGTCTTCTCGCGCCCATACTCTTCTGTTTAACATTCTTTAGCCTCCCGAACTCGAGATTCGCGATATCGGTGACCTCACCGTAGATCAGTTTCGAGGAATTTTTCGTCTCACATATTCTGGCGATGCTCATCTAGTTCTGAAGACCAAAGTCCAGGTATGCTGCCCGGTCCCTCTCCCAAGGATTGCTAATTACAATTAACGCCAGGCAAACCCATTAAACCACAAGCAACCCGATATCCATCTTATGGCCGGCTCGCAAGGCATGCTCGCCGCGAAACAACCCCTTGTTGTACCCATGCTTCTCCGTCTGTCGCACTTCAAACTTAATTCATATGTCGTCCTTGTTGTTTCCAAGCAAAAAGGTATCACCCTTGTCTTCAAGACAGACCCCCTCCAGAACGTCGACATAAACAGCACGTTTGACTCCATCGCGGTCATTCAGAAGTTTATCCAACGAGAAATCGAAGGCCAGTTACGCCAAATGTTTCGCGAAGATTTACCTGGTATCATACATCGACTTAGTCAACAGTGGGTGAAGGCTAAAGTGGAGGCGCCTTACCTGCAGAAAAATCCACCACCGCCACCTCCGCCCTCGGTCAACAGGGAAAATCAGGCGTTCGACACGCGCTCTTCGGCCGATGTATCGATGCGGAGTATGCCCCCATCCTCTCTCAATAATGGAATCCCGTCAAATACGCCGCGGAGACCACAATCCGTTACTTCTGCTAGAAGCTCAGCTTACCCTAAGCGGCCCCGCTCGACATCAGGGTACTCTTCGGCATCTCTTTCTAAACCTAAACCCTCAGAACCGTCCTCTCCACCAATAGCGTCAGAACCCGTATCTTTTCCTGATCTAGAAAATTTCGATCCGACGTATGGTCTGCGTCCCGAAGGGCTCCCTACGAAAAGTGTCTTCCGCGGTTTCAGTAACCTCTTCCAGCCCAACAAAGGGCTTGCGGATCTTGCTGAGGACTCCGAAGAAGACGAGGAACTTGATGATGATGATGACGGTGCCGCCTCATTTGACATTGTCAACTGGGACTATACGGTACCTGATTCCAACCCGAGCATATATGATGATGCGCGCGAGAGTATCGCACCAGAATCCGATTTCGAGACTATACCTGCTGTAGGAGGCGGAACAATTACGCGACCACGAATTTACCATTCGCAATCGATGATCCAGTCTCCTAACGCCATTGCCTCTTCATCAAAACATAGACCTACATTATCCTCCCCCAGATCTGGTCTAACGACGCCTGGCCTCTCACGACGAGGAAGTGGAATTTATAATCCCTACTTCGGGAGTTTATCATCCGCACACAGTGTTACAGGTGGCTTCCACGGCGCACCGCCGTTTTACTCCACACCACAGAGGCCCGTGACGCCAGACAGCCTAGAAACTCAACCATCGAGGTCTAGTAGTGGCCATGGCCTTTCGACATCTACTCCACCTACAGAACATGCTATACACGACGACGACGACGATTATGAACATTACCGTCACGACTCTGCCATGTACATGCGCCGGCCCTCAGCCCCTCCATCAACAACCGCCCCTTCATCCCGGCGCCCCTCCATATCCTCCGCAAACCTCGATCACGCCTTTCCCTCCACCTCGCCCACGGCCCTGTCAAATCACTCTGCACAAACATCAACCCGCAATCCGAAAATCGTGCTGCGGCCTTCACTCAACAACACCATTCATCAGCTCTCCACGCTCTC